ATTCGTGATGGTGAAATTAGTCAGAGAAATACGTGTAGGACAGAGTGACGAGTAAACATATGTATACGTTTAGTCGTTTACTTTTACGTATATATGTTTACGTACATACGTTTATGTTACGTAAACAAAGAAATACGTTTAGGACAGAGTGTCACACATATTCAACGGGTGCATATCAAAGGCTTAAGAGTCAAGTAAACACATGAAAGGCAAGGTGAAAGCCACAGCAACGAGTGAATACATTAGGCGAACGCTTACAGAGACAAGTGAGTGCGTGTGTATAGACGCCTGTTACAGAGACAACTCAGACAAGTGAAGTGCAGTGTAATGGACACATGTTACAGAGACAAGTGAGTGCATGTGTAACGGACGCGTGTTACAGAGACAAGTAAGTGCATGTGTAATAGACGCGTGTTACAGAGACAAGTGAGTACATGTGTAATAGACGTGCATTACAGAGACAAGAGAGTGCACACGTTACAGAGACAAGTGAGTGCGTGTGTAACGGATGCGTGTTACAGAGACAAGTGAGTGCATGTGTAACGGACACACGTTACAGAGACAAGTGAGTGCGTGTGTAACGGATGCGTGTTACAGAGACACAGTGAGTGCATTGTAACGGACAACGTGCGCATTACAGAGACAAGTGAGTGCATGTGTTACTGAGTGTAACAGACGCGTGTTACAGAGACAAGTGAGTGCGTGTGTAATGGATGCGCATTACAGAGACAAGTGAGTGCATGTGTTACTGAGTGTAACAGACGCGTGTTACAGAGACAAGTGAGTGCGTGTGTAATGGATGCGCATTACAGAGACAAGTGAGTGCATGTGTTACTGAGTGTAACAGACGCGTGTTACAGAGACAAGTGAGTGCGTGTGTAATGGATGCGCATTACAGAGACAAGTGAGTGCATGTGTTACTGAGTGTAACAGACGCGTGTTACAGAGACAAGTGAGTGCGTGTGTAATGGATGCGCATTACAGAGACAAGTGAGTGCATGTGTAACGGACGCATATATTGCAGAGACGACCGAGTGCATGTGTATTGCGGATATTTTACAGAGAGAACTGAACACGCGTGTAATGGATACATGTTACGGGGGCAAGGGAGCGCACGTCTAATCTAATGGAGGCAACAAAAGTCAGTTCCAGCGAAAAGCGAACACAAGAAGAACTCGTGTTCGTTGTGCACAGCAACATGCAAACGCACGAGTGATGGCCCCTCTGGACAACACAATCATCTGCTTCAAGCCTGACAGACAAGCACAATGACGAGTGCATTGCCTCCAGGTCACCTCTGGCGAGATCGCACCCTCAACTGTATGTCTGTGTAAGTAAACCAGACACACTATCACGCACTCAACAGGGGCAGGGAGCAGTAGACTACACTCATCAACACGCTCAGATATTAAGGTTAACCCTTTATCGCAAGCAAATGACAGAAAGCTGCTTCATATCATAAACACCAATCACGATCGTTTGCTTTCGATACGACAAATCGACCAATCTGCCTGGATTGATTGTGAGATAGCTCTAGCCAATCAGCACTGCAATAAGGGCACTCTAAAAACGCTTCTTAGTAATTAAGTGTCAGAAAGTCACCGATATGGCATGGATGCATAATTATTAAATTAATGCATAGACAGGTCCAGCTTGTCAGACTTAGCAACAATATCAAAGGGCGGGGGCATGCTTATCTCACCCAGCCAGATAGGTCAGTTCAACGATCAAGTGGAGAAAAGGTGAGAACGGTGAAACGTGGCGAGTGTCCTACCTGCTTGACTCGATAGCTGCGGCCAGGTCCTGCCTATGGCCAGCCTCCATCTGCGTCAATTCCTGCACACTCCTCGAGACGCCCGCTCCCAGAGAGGAGACCTCAGTCCCCAGGGAAGCGTAGTCGGGCGCCCGACCCGGATATTCAAACCTCGGCGGTGCATAGTCTGTGCCCGCGGCGCGATAGGCCGTCCTCGGCCCTGGATAGCGTGGCGCGCGGGCGTAGTCACCCGGCAGGGCCTGGTATGCACCCGCACGAGCGGAGTAGTCGCCGCCGATGACGGTGTACTCTGGTGGCGGCGCGTGCCCGCCCGCGCGGACGTACGCGGCCGGGTCGGCACCGGCAGCAGCCGCCTCCCACGGCGCGCCCGCATCCAGCGCGGCCCTTGCGCGCGCCGCACCGGGCCTGGCGCCGCGCGCGTCCGACGGTGGCGCCCTCTCGTCTATCGTTGCGAGGTTCGGGTCGACGAGCTCGCAGGGGTAGCGCGCGTGCAGAGCCAGCTCTGCGTCGTAGCACCGCTGCTGCTGCTGCTGCTGCTGTTGCTGCTGCTGCTGTTGCTGCTGCTGCTCCTCACCCTGCGGTTCCTGCCTGGTGGAGCTTCGCAGCACATGCCGGTCCTCGGCGCTCAGGTTCTCCGTAGAGGAGTCGCTGCCACTGTAGCCTGTGTGCGACGGGCAAGCTCATGGCAGACGGTGTGATCGACATGCATATAGTAGGCCGTCGCACTCAGAAATAATTATTTTTCCCGCGGTTAAATTGTTTTTTTATTAATATTTTTCCCCGTAGTATAATTATAGTTCTTTCTTCCCAATCAGAAGGCTCGTTACACGACTGAATTATTCCTATTAAACAGTGTTTCTGATTGGGTAGCAAGAGCTATAATTTTACTTGATAAGAAGCCTCATTACATGTAATTTCACTGAGGTGAAATTAATTGTAATTGTAACAAGGCTTCTGGTTGGGTAGAAAGCTATACATTTACTCTGGTAAAAAAATGTAACCTCAGGACCCGGTTCCACAGACGTGGATTAACTCTGGTATGAACCTAGATTAAACTCTTAACTCAGGGTTAAAAATCAAGTTACATTCGATTTAGTTATAGATAGTCTTCGGTATAATCCTTTAGACTTTGAAGACTATTTTCCACGAGGTTAGTTTAGCTCTACCTCCAGGATACTAATACTAGAGCTAATTAGTTTATCTAGTACTGCCCCGTGTCCGATCCCCCGCTGGCGCTGGAACATACGGTGTTTGTTTTAGTTTGTTGTACATTGGTTAGCCATTGATGGCGTGCCAACACGGGAAAATGTACGATTTTTAGCGATTTCGCAATAGCCGCAGCTGTTAAAGTGTCGTGCTAATGACGCAAACGTTGCTGGTTCAATCCCCGCATTGGCAAAATATTTCCCCTCATTTATTTATCGCTGCCGGTTTTCATTATAACGTTTTTTCATTACACCTACCACGTTCGTACGTCTATCATGCGTCTATCGTCTATCGTCTATGTGTCTATCATGTTTGTCTGTTCTAACTACGTGGAATTATGGGATACTAACTCTGAGTTACTTAACTCAGGATTTAATCCATGTTTATGAAACCTAAATTTAACTCATAGTTTACTAACTGAGAGTTAGTGAGTTTAACTCAGAGTTAAAGTTAATCACGTCTGTGGAACCGGGTCCTGTATTTCAGCTATTTTTACCAACCCGGGAGGCTTGCCATATGATACCATTATACAAATTGTAACAATGCTTCCAATTGGGTAGAAAGAGCTATGAATTTACCCAATCAGAGGTCTCATTACATGTAATTTAACTGAGATTAAACTAATTGTAACAAGGCTTCTGATTGGGTAGAAAGAGCTATAAATTTGCTCTGGTAAAAATAACAACTAACATAACAACAATAGTTTTTTTTACACGTTACACAGGTCTTTAGAACCCTTAGAACCGTTGTTACATGTAATTTAACTGTGGTTGAATTACTTTTACCACAGTAAAAATGAATTGTAACAAAACTTCTGATTGGATAGAAAGTGCCGTAGTAATTGTGATCAATTGGATAAAATTGAACCGTAGTAAAAATAATTGTTTCTGAGTATGATGGCCAACAATACATGTCCCGACAAAACACGTCTCGCGTCGTAGCACCTCGGTTGACCCTTCGAGACTGGGTGCCGGTGGAAATTATATTTCAACTCAAGAAAACGTTCTCTGAATTTTCGTTTTACTTATTCACCGCTTCGGTTTCACGTATACAAAATTTATCATGCCCTTTTCCTTCTTCTGCTTCTCTGCACACATGCAGAATTTATTTGGATTTTTTTCCTTACCACTCTGTTATATATAATGTATAGAATATCTATTGGGGGATATGTTTTGTCAATTATCTATACATTTGACGCAAGGAGCAGAACTACGACTGAAATATGCACTTGCCTACACGCTCACACGTGAGACATTGAAAGCAAGCTAAGGCAAACAAGAAATCTTCAAAGTCAGGTGCGATACACGCTACGGTAGCAGGTATAGCGTGAACAAAATGCACCGTTTCCTTGCGCACACGCTAAATATAAGTAGCGACAACATTCCAGTATCATAGCCATGCAAGCACGTAACCCAACCTTCAATAAAATCAATAACCTTCAGATCGAATTACTCGAAAACGGCGTGCGCTTTGAGATGGTTACGACAAATAAGCTGAACGCGCTAACTATAAATGGGTTATTACGTTACATGCTACGTGCGAAATGCGACAAGTCATACACAAACACGCGCAGGGATTGGTGCGAGACGCGTGCGCACCTGGCTGTAGAAGAAACTGTGGTCTGTGTGCGAGAATCGCACGGCTGTACACCGCCTGTTGTCCTGCAGATTTCATACTTCAGTACACTCAACGACATAAGCGCTATCAATCCATCTCCCTAAAACACCACAATAATCTATGATTAAATTCTATTGACGTTGCTTTCTAAAACACTGCAAATGGGTGGATTGACACATTTGTGGGTATACTAGGAATCGTATCCATGGGGGGAATCATGTACAGCTAGGGTAAAACGAGGACGAGATTATTGGGTGTAATGAGGGTTACTGCCAGGTTCAATAGGGGTATTTACGCGTTCATTCTGAGAAGTACTAATGGATCAATTAAGGGCGGAGGTAGCCATGGGTTCAATGGGTGGGGGGAAATGATAGGTTAATTAAGGAGGGCATCGATGGGTTCAGTAAGCGTATATTGATACTGATAGGTTCACTGAGGGAACTAATGAATTGATTGACAGATAGTACTTATTGGTTAAACGAGGAGGGTAGCGATGGGTTCAATGGGGGAGGGTACTGATGGGTTCAATGGGGGAGGGTAGTGATGGGTTCAATGGGTGGGGGTAGTGGTGGGTTCAATGGGGGAGGGTAGTGATGGGTTCAATGGGGGAGGGTAGTGATGGGTTCCAGGGTTCTCCCCAGGATGAAATTCAAACGGGGGGAGGGGAGGGGTAGGGGGAGGGGGAGGGGGAAACTAGGGGGGTCCGGGGTGTGTATTTTTACCGTACGACTAATTAATGCGTAAAATCGCCACCACACCATAGACGGTATTTGGGTTCTTGTATATATAAGATAGCCGAGTCGGTGTACAGTTAGTGACAGGTTAACTTGTGTACTGTCTGCAGTGCATGCGTGGTACGGTAAAAATACACCCGTCGGATGTCCTGGTCGAACGGCAATTCTTGACGGTCGATTCCCGCGCTGGCAAACTTTTATTGTGGTGGAATTTAAACGGGGCGAGGTAATTCAAACGGGCGCAACGATTCAAACAGGGGGGAGTTTTCCCAACGGGGCGCGCGCGCCCCGTTTGCGCAACGTAGGGAGAACCCTGGGTTCAATGGGGGAGGGTAATGATGGGTTCAATGGGGGAGGATAGTGGTGGGTTCAATGGGGGAGGGTACTGATGGGTTCAATGGGGGAGGGTAGTGATGGGTTCAATGGGGGAGGGTAGTGATGGGTTCAATGGGGGGAGGGTAGTGGTGGGGTTCAATGGGGGAGGGTAGTGATGGGTTCAATGGGGGAGGGTAGTGATGGGTTCAATGCAGTAGGGTGCTGGTGAGTTCAATGAGGGTAGTGCCAATGGGGGAGGGTAGTGGTGGGTTAATGATGGTAGTGGTGAATTCGATTAGGAAGCTACCGATTGGTTCATTGTGGGCACTGGTGGGTTCAGTGTGAAAATGGGTTCATCCAATTACAGGAATATGAAGCGTACTTTTAAATGGAGTACTTATCAAAGGGTTAAGTAAAAGAAATAAGGTTCAAGAGGCAGTTGCTTAAGGTGGATAAAACCTCGCAACAAAAAGCCTACATACACCTACTGTGAGCATACTTGCAGTATGAAAATATCATGAAATGTTCTTAGTGAGCCAGAAATGTGCACCGAACTAGAGGATTTTGATGCAACGTCCGACAGAGTTATTCGGCGCATAAATTTGAGCGAAGGGGGTACGCTAGCGCAAATAGTTCCTGGAAAGAAAACACTATATTTGTGTCGTGATTGCATAAGTATTGTGG